AAAAAAAATTCTGACAGTACCACTTTGGTCGGAATAGTGAGTAGAAAAATCTGTAAAGAAGCGGCCGGGGCAAAAAATGGCCGGAAATAGTGAAATAGAATCAAAGCAGCGAAAGACTGTTCTGAACAAAAATAATTCGAACGGGGAAAAAAAAATTCCCAACAACAAACTGATGAAAAAACTTCAATGCTCTGATACCATGTTAGAAACCAAAGAAGTTCTATATTTCATATCTAGAAGAGAAGATTACAAAGCCTATTTATAATACTAATTCACCTAATCTATTAGTTGTCATACACCTAATTACATCTACTATACAACTCATATACATGTGCTAGCTATGATGTAGTACATGTGTATACATGTGCTACACAACTTGTATTACACCTACTATACAACCCATATACATGTGCTAGCTATGATGTAGTACATGTGTATACATGTGCTAGACAACTTGTATGTCAACACCTTTGGAAGTCGAACAAGACACACAACTGCAATTTCCCATTCCCTTCCAATAATTCAAACATTCTCTTGCGCTGGAGAAATGCCAGAAAGATGAAGCTGAACGCTCAAGTGTTTTTCCATTGTTAGATCAAGTACTAGGAGTTAGTATCAGTTTCCCTAATTTTTTGCTCTTAGGGAGTTTTTCCAAAGAATGACTCATTAATTAATCAAGTAAATCCAAACAAGAAATGATAACTTTGAATCGACAGTGAGGACTAGTACAGTAACACGCAAGACTCATCTACAATTCCAAGTGGTCCTTTACCTCACTTATTTTGTACAAGGAGTTGTTCTTGGAAGCAAAAAGTAAAAAAGTGTTTTCCACATCATTGAAAGTGACAGCACTCCATCGGTACTCCAGGATTCAATCATTCATCCGACTTTTTCGCACAATGACCCTTTTCAATCAAGTATTCAACAAATTCATCAAGAAGACATGGCCAAGCTCCTTCAGCATCATAGTTTGATAATGTAGAGTCCACAGTCTGCGTACGACATCATACATACCAATATAATGTTCTGTTCTTTTTTCCTTTAAAAATAACTTGAAATAATACATACTGAGGTGCAAAACATTCCGGCAACTTTTTTCTCTTTTTTGTAAGTACAAAAACCTTTAGGCATCTTTTGACATGATTTAGATAATAGACTAATAGCAGAAAGTCAGACGGAATTGGATGGAGTACGGGGAGAAGGTGGAGAATATATAGAGAGGGTGTGTTTGAAAGCTAATACGCTAAAGTGATGAGTTGGAACTTACCTTTGCAAATTCCAGTAGCTGTAGCCAAACATCACGTGAGATAACCTTCATATTCCGGTCCTGAATCAGTTGGCAACAAAAGCATACCACAAGAAGAAAGGACATGGGTGAGTTATAGCATCCTCAATAAGCGCAAAAAACACTTGTAACAGCACATTAGTTGTCATGCGGAAATAAGAACCACTTGAAAATCATGTGCACATTAAAATAGACACAAATCAAAAGGGCTGGAGCATTATCAAGCATGAGATTACATCAAGTAAACAGAACCAATGAGCATCCAGCAAAATACGGCATGATGTCATCTTCATTAAGCAAAAAAACTGAATTGTCAAACCTAGCAAATGTATAGCCTTTTTGGCCAAGCTGCAAAAATCAACTTATTTTGAGAGTGCTTTTTTTCAAAAGTGCTTTTCTCAAAAGTACTTTTGGTGTGAAGCAGTTTGTGCTTGGATAATTAATTTGAAAAGCACTTCTAAGCAGCAATTAATATTTGGCTAAGCTTTTAAAAACTGTTTCTAAGTGTATTTTTCTCAAAAGTGCTTTTGCAAAGAAACTACTTTTTTATGCTTCTGCTTCTCCTCAAAAGCATTTTTTTTTCTTCCAAAAGCTTAACCAAACACTTCAACTTTGAAAGAAAAGCACTTTTTGAAAAAAAAAAAAAAAAAAAA